GGAAGGGTCCTTGAAGATCATAGAACCACAGAAGTTCACAGTTATTGGTTGGAAGGGACCTTATAGACAATAAAACCACAGGATGATTTAGTTGGAAAGGTCCTTAAAGATCACAGAACCATAGAAACACAGAGTGGTTGGGTTGGAAGGGACCTTGTAGACCAGAGAACCATAGGGTTGTTGGGTTGGAAGGGTCCTTGAAGGTCATAGAACCATAGAAACACAGAGTGGTTGGGTTGGAAGGGACCTTGTAGACCACAGGATCATAGAGTTGTTGGGTTGGAAGGGTCCTTGAAGGTCATAGAACCATAGAAACACACAATGGTTGGGTTGGAAGGACGATATAGACCACAGAACCATAGGATTGTTGGGTTGGAGAGGTCCTTAAAGATCATAGAACCATAGAAGTTCACAATTATTGGGTTGGAAGGACCTTACAGACAATAAAACCATAGGATGATTTAGTTGGAAAGGTCCTTAAAGATCACAGAACCTTAGGAACACAAAGTGGTTGGTTTGGAAGGGACCTTGTAGACCAGAGAACCATAGGGTGGTTGGGTTGGGAGGGTCCTTACAGATCACAGAACCATAGAAACACAGAGTGGTTGGATTGGAAGGGACCTTGTAGACCAGAGAAACATAGGGTTGTTGGGTTGGAAGGGTCCTTGAAGGTCATAGAACCATAGAAACACAGAGTGGTTGGGTTGGAAGGGACCTTGTAGACCACAGGATCATAGAGTTGTTGGGTTGGAAGGGTCCTTGAAGGTCATAGAATCATAGAAACACAGAGTGGTTGGGTTGGAAGGGACCTTGTAGACCACAGGATCATAGAGTTGTTGGGTTGGAAGGGTCCTTGAAGGTCATAGAATCATAGAAACACAGAGTGGTTGGGTTGGAAGGGACCTTGTAGACCACAGATCATAGGGTTGTTGGGTTGGAAGGGTCCTTGAAGGTCATAGAATCATAGAAACACAGAGTGGTTGGGTTGGAAGGGACCTTGTAGACCACAGATCATAGGGTTGTTGGGTTGGAAGGGTCCTTGAAGGTCATAGAACCATAGAAACACAGAGTGGTTGGATTGGAAGGGACAGTGAAGACAACAGAACCATAGGGTGGTTGGGTTGGAAGGGTCCTTACAGATCACAGAGCCGTAGAACCATGCAGTGGTTGGGTTGTAAGGATGCTTATAGACCACAGAAGCACAGAATGGTTGGGCTGGAAGCTCCAACTGTCCCCAGGTGTCACCAGTGCCCGTCTCCAATCCAAATGCCACCGCTGCCTATGCTGAGAAGCAGCAGCAAATCCCCAATGTTCCCCTCTCCTCCCCCTCCCCCCCCCCCCCCCCCCCCCGTCCTCAGTGCTGCTTTCCTGCAGCTGTGTCCATCCCTCTGTCTGTCCGTCCATCCCCTCTTCCCTTCCCCCCACAGCTTCCCCAGCAATGCCAGGATGGGGGGAAGGGGCAGCAGTACGTGGGTGTCACCCGTGTCCCCACAGCCACCCTATGCTGGGAACCCAAAAGGAAATCCTGCCCCATCCCTGGAACATCAGCATCCCTTACCTTCCCCGGGATGACACCTATGGGGGCTGGGGGGGGGGGAAGGGAGGGCAGTGGTGTCACTCATGGGGGGGTGGGGAGGGCTGGGGGGGACACAGGTGACACCCATGGGGTGCTGGGAGGGGGGGAATCTCCAGCTCTCCAGCTGCCCACCTGTCCGTATTCCTTCATTCCCCTTTCTGCCTCCGTCTTTCCACCTCTCCATCTGTCCTCATGCCTCCCCCTTTCCATGTCCACCTCTCCACCTCTTCGCTCGTGTCTCTCTGTCTCCATCAAGACAGACGGATCCACTTCTCCCTGTCTTTGTCCGTTTCTCCACCTCTGCCCATCTCAACCTCTCCATCCCCATCCATCCATCTCCCCATCTCAACCTCTCCATCCCCATCCATCCATCTCTCCATCTCAGCCTCTCCATCCCCATCCATCCATCTCTCCATCTCAAACTCTCCATCCCCATCCATCCATCTCTCCATCTCAACCTCTCCATCTCTGTCCATCTCTCCATCTCACCCTCTCCATCCCCATCCATCCATCTCTCCATCTCAACCTCTCCATCCCCATCCATCCATCTCTCCATCTCAGCCTCTCCATCCCCATCCATCCATCTCTCCATCTCAAACTCTCCATCCCCATCCATCCATCTCTCCATCTCAACCTCTCCATCTCTGTCCATCTCTCCATCTCAGCCTCTCCATCCCCGTCCATCCATCTCTCCATCTCAACCTCTCCATCTCTGTCCATCTCTCCATCTCAGCCTCTCCATCCCCATCCATCCATCTCTCCATCTCAACCTCTCCATCCCCATCCATCCATCTCTCCATCTCAACCTCTCCATCCCCATCCATCCATCTCTCCATCTCAACCTCTCCATCCCCATCCATCCATCTCTCCATCTCAACCTCTCCATCCCCATCCATCCATCTCTCCATCTCAACCTCTCCATCCCCATCCATCCATCTCTCCATCTCAACCTCTCCATCTCTGTCCCCATCCATGTCTCCATCTCAACCTGTCCATCCCCGTCCATCCATCTCTCCATCTCAGCCTCTCCATCTCTGTCCATCCATCTCCCCATCTCAGCTTCCCCATCTTTATCTCCACCTCTCTCCATCTCAACCTCTCCGCCTGTCCACCCATCTCTGTCTCTGTCCAGCCATCTCTCCAACTCTGTCTGTCCATCTCTCCATCTCAGCCCCTCCATCTCAACCTCTTCATCTCTGTCCATCTCTCCATCTCAGCCTCTCCATCCCCGTCCATCCATCTCTCCATCTCAACCTCTCATCTCTGTCCGTCCATCTCCCCATCTCAGCTTCTCCATCTTTCTCTCCACCTCTCTCCATCTCCATCTCAACCTCTCCTCCTGTCCATCCATCTCTCCAACTGCCTGTCCATCTCAACCTCTCCGTCTCTGTCCGTCTGTCCACCTCCCCCCGTCTCCATCTCAACCTCTCCACCTCTGTCTGTCCATCTCTCCATCCCAATTTCTCCATCTCCATCCATCCTTCTCTCTGTCTCTGTCCCCTTTTTACCCATCCCTCCATCTCTCTACCTGTCCACCTCCCCATTTCTTCACTTCTCCATCTCCCACGTCTCTCTGTCTCCACCTCTCCCCATATCCACATCCCTGTATCTCCATGTCTCCACATTTCACCTCCACGTCTCCATCTCCCCACTTCCCCATCTCCCCACATCTCCATCTCCCCATTTCTCCATCTCTCCACCTTTCCATCTTGTCCATCTATGTCTCCACTTCTCCCTCCATGTCTCCATCTCTCTCTGCCTCTCTATCTTCTCACCCCTCTCCACGTCTCCTTCTCTACACTCTCCAGCTCTCCATCCATCTCTCCACATCCCCACCTCTCCACCTTCCACCTCTCCACCTCTGTCCATCCATGTCTCCACCTCTCTCCATTTCTCCAGCACCTCCACCTCTCCACATCCCCACCTCTCCCTACCTCTCCATCTCTACACCTCTCCATCTCTATCCATCTCTCTTTATCTCCCCATCTCTTTCCATCTCTCCATTTCTCCATCTCTCTCCACCTCTCCATCTCTCTCCATCTCTCCATCCCTCTATCTCTCCCCCATTTCTCTCCATCTCTTTCCATCCCTCCATCTCTCTCTCTCTCCCCATTTCTCTCCATCTCTCCATTTCTCTCCATCTCTCCATCTCTCTCCATCCCTCTCTCTCTCTCCATCCCTTTCCATTTCTCCATCTCCCCATTTCTCTCCATTTCTCCATCCCTCCATCTCTCCCCATTTCTCTCCATCCCTCTCCATCCCTCTCCATCCCTCCATCTCTTTCCATCTCTCCCCACCTCTCCCCACGTCCCCACACCCCCATCCCCGCCACCCTCCCCATCCCACCTCTCCCCTCTCCACCCGACGTCTCCCCTCTCCATTCCCCCCCTCTCACCCACCCCACCTCACGCAGCGCACACAGCCCACGTCCCCCCACCCCTCTCCCCGCAGCCCCCCGACTCGCAGCTCCCCGTGACCCCCCCATGCCCCCCCTGGGTTCACTCCCTCGCCTTCCCCCCTCCCCTCACCCCAACCCGTGGCGCGCAGCGCGGTGGGGCGGCGGGTGCGCGGCGCGGCGGTTCCGTGCGCTCTACCCGGGAGGGGTGCAGGGGGGGCAGCGGCGCAGGGGGGTCGGGGGGCGGCGGAGAGGACTGGGGGTGGGGATGGGTCCGGCGGGGAGAGGGGAGCGGCGGGGCCGTCCCGGAGCGCACGGAGCCCCCGCGCCCCGCAGCTCTCCCCGGGGCGCTGCGTTACGCACGGGACCCCCCCCCACCAGCGCAGGGGGCTACGATGGGGTCCGGCGGTGCCCGGAGAGCTGCGAGAGGTGCAGCTCCGAATGTCGGCTCCGTCCGATTCTCATTGCCGCGTCGCGACTCCCCGGTTGGGGACCGGGGAAGGGTCTGGAGGGCCGGGGCCGTCGAGAGAAGGGGGGGTGACAGCGCGTTTCGGTGGGGGCCGGAGCGGGGCCGGGCCGGAGCGCTTGTGGTTAATGTGTAATTGGGAGCAGATGGCACTGAGAGGCGGCTCCGTGCGGGCAGTGCGGGGCCGGAGCGCACCGCGAAGCGCAGCCCCGTTCCCGCGGGGGGACGGAGCAGAGGGACCGCGCTCCCCCCTCCGCTATTTGCTCTCCAAATATTGTGCTTTGAGGTTTACAACTCGCCTTTATCTGGGCCGGCCCGAGGGGCCATCTGTGCCGGGGTCGGTGCGCAACGCACCCTCGGCACCCATCTCTCCGAGCCTCCCTCTATTTGCTCAGCTCAACAGCAGCAAGAAAAAAAATAAATCTATCTATACATACAGACACATCCACGCAATAAACCGGAGCGTGGGCCGACTTTATGGTGGGTCCGACACCCACCATCTGCCGCACCGCCCGGCCCGGCTCTGTTTGCTCTGCGGGAACTCCGCGCTGCTCTGCGGGCTCATGCGCTCCTCCGAGCCGTCGGGGCCGCCTCCTTCCTCCCCTCTTCCTCTCCGTCCACCCGCACAGCTCGGCTCCCTCCGGCTCTGCTCGGCCCGGTTCGGCTCCGAAGGTACCGAACCCACACATTTCACACCCCCCTCATCTACCCCCCCTTCCCCCCCCCGGGTCCCGTTTGGGATCGCGCTCTGAGCTGGTGCGCTCTGCTGGCTGCGTGCGCGCAGGAAGCCGCGCACAGCGCAGCGGAGAGGAAGGAACGCGGCGGGGGTTGGTGCGTCCGGGTTTGGGGCTTTGGGGTTCGGGGCTTTGGGGTTCGGTGCTTTGGGGTTTGGGGCTTTGGGGTTCGGTGCTTTGGGGTTTGGAACTTTGGGGTTCATTGTTTTGGGGTTTGGTGCGTCAGGGTTTGGAGCTTTGGGGTTCGTTTCTTCGGGGTTTGGTGCATCAGGGTTTGGAGCTTTGGGGTCAATACTTCGCATTTTGGTGCTTTGGGGTTCTGGTGCATCAGGGTTTGGTTCTGTGGGGTTTGGTGTGTCCAGATTCAGTCTTTGGGATTCAGTGCTTTGGGGTTTGGTGCTTTGGGGTTTGGTGTTTCAGGGTTTGGTTCTGTGGGGTTTGGCGTGTCCAGATTCAGTCTTTGGGATTCAGTGCTTTGGGGTTTGGTGCTTTGGGGTTTGGTGTTTCAGGGTTTGGTTCTGTGGGGTTTGGTGTGCCCAGATTCAGTCTTTGGGATTCAGTGCATTTGGGTTTGGTGTTTTGGGGTTTGGTGCATCAGGATTTGGTGCTTTGGGGTTCATTTCTTCGGGTTTGCTGTGTCCAGGCTTGGGGCTTTGAGGTTTGGGGCTTTGGGGTTTGGAGCTTTAGGGTTCATTGTTTTGGGGTTTGGTGCTTCAGGGTTTGGTGCTTTGGGGTCAATACTTCGCATTTTGGTGCTTTGGGTTCTGGTGCATCAGGGTTCAGAGCATCAGGGTTTGGTGCTTTGGGGTTTGGTGTGCCCAGATTCAGTCTTTGGGATTCGGTGCTTTGGGGTTTGGTGTGTCCAGATTCAGTCTTTGGGATTCGGTGCTTTGGGGTTTGGTGCTTTGGGGTTTGGTGCTTCAGGGTTTGGAGCTTTGGGGTTCATTTCTTCGGGATCTGGTGAGTCCAGGTTGGGGAAATGGGGTTCAGTGCTTTGGGGTTTCAGTGCTTGGGGTTTGGTGTGTCCAGATTCAGTCTTTGGGATTCAGTGCTTTGGGGTTTGGTGCTTTGGGGTTTGGTGTGTCAGGGTTTGGTTCTGTGGGGTTTGGTGTGCCCAGATTCAGTCTTTGGGATTCAGTGCATTTGGGTTTGGTGTTTTGGGGTTTGGTGCATCAGGATTTGGTGCTTCGGGGTTCATTGCTTCGGGTTTGCTGTGTCCAGGCTTGGGGCTTTGAGGTTTGGGGCTTTGGGGCTTGTAGCTTTAGGGTTCATTGTTTTGGGGTTTGGTGCTTCAGGGTTTGGAGCTTTGGGGTCAATACTTTGGATTTTGGTGCTTTGGGTTCTGGTGCATCAGGGTTCAGAGCATCAGGGTTTGGTGCTTTGGGGTTTGGTGTGTCCAGATTCAGTCTTTGGGATTCGGTGCTTTGGGGTTTGGTGCCTCAGGGTTTGGAGCTTTGGGGTTCATTTCTTTGGGATCTGGTGAGTCCAGGTTGGGGGATATGGTGTTCAGTGCTTTGGATTTTAGTGCTTTGGGGTTCAGTGCTTTAGGGTTTGGTGCTTTGGGGTTTGGTGCTTTGGGGTTTGGTGTGTCCAGATTCAGTCTTTGGGATTCAGTGCTTTGGGGTTTGGTGCTTTGGGGTTTGGTGTGTCAGGGTTTGGGGATTTGGAGTTCAGTGCTTTGGGGTTCAGTGCTTTGGGGTTCAGTGCTTTGGGGTTTGATGTTTCAGGGTTTGGTTCTGTGGGGTTTGGTGTGACCAGATTCAGTCTTTGGGATTCAGTGAATTTGGGTTTGGTGCTTTGGGGTTTGGTGCATCAGGGTTCAGAGCATCAGGGTTTGGTGCTTTGGGGTTTGGTGTGTCCAGATTCAGTCTTTGGGATTCGGTGCTTTGGGGTTTGGTGCTTTGGGGTTTGGTGCGTCAGGGTTTGGTGCTTTGGGGTTCATTTCTTTGGGATCTGGTGAGTCCAGGTTGGGGGATATGGTGTTCAGTGCTTTGGATTTTAGTGCTTTGGGGTTCAGTGCTTTAGGGTTTGGTGCTTTGGGGTTTGGTGCTTTGGGGTTTGGTGTGTCCAGATTCAGTCTTTGGGATTCAGTGCTTTGGGGTTTGGTGCTTTGGGGTTTGGTGTGTCAGGGTTTGGGGATTTGGAGTTCAGTGCTTTGGGGTTCAGTGCTTTGGGGTTCAGTGCTTTGGGGTTTGATGTTTCAGGGTTTGGTTCTGTGGGGTTTGGTGTGCCCAGATTCAGTCTTTGGGATTCAGTGAATTTGGGTTTGGTGCTTTGGGGTTTGGTGCATCAGGGTTCAGAGCATCAGGGTTTGGTGCTTTGGGGTTTGGTGTGTCCAGATTCAGTCTTTGGGATTCGGTGCTTTGGGGTTTGGTGCTTTGGGGTTTGGTGTGTCAGGGTTTGGTGCTTTGGGGTTCATTTCTTTGGGATCTGGTGAGTCCAGGTTGGGGAAATGGGGTTCAATGCTTTGGGGTTTCAGTGCTTGGGGTTTGTTGTGTCCAGATTCAGTCTTTGGGATTCAGTGCTTTGGTACTTTGGGGTTTCAGTGCTTTGGGGTTTCAGTGCTTTGGGGTTTGGTGTGTCAGGGTTCAGAGCATCAGGGTTCGGAGCATCAGGGTTTGGTGCTTTGGGGTTTGGTGTGTCAGGGTTTGGGGATTTGGAGTTCAGTGCTTTGGGGTTCAGTGCTTTGGGGTTTGGTGTTTCAGGGTTTGGTTCTGTGGGGTTTGGTGTGCCCAGATTCAGTCTTTGGGATTCGGTGCTTTTGGGTTTGGTGCATCAGGATTTGGTGCTTTGGGGTTCATTTCTTCGGGTTTGCTGTGTCCAGGCTTGGGGCTTTGAGGTTTGGGGCTTTGGGGTTTGGAGCTTTAGGGTTCATTGTTTTGGGGTTTGGTGCATCAGGGTTTGGTGCTTTGGGGTCAATACTTCGCATTTTGGTGCTTTGGGTTCTGGTGCATCAGGGTTCAGAGCATCAGGGTTTGGTGCTTTGGGGTTTGGTGTGTCCAGATTCAGTCTTTGGGATTCGGTGCTTTGGGGTTTGGTGCTTTGGGGTTTGGTGTGTCAGGGTTTGGGGCTTTGGGGTTCATTTCTTCGGGATCTGGTGAGTCCAGGTTGGGGAAATGGGGTTCAATGCTTTGGGGTTTCAGTGCTTGGGGTTTGGTGTGTCCAGATTCAGTCTTTGGGATTCAGTGCTTTGGTGCTTTGGGGTTTCAGTGCTTTGGGGTTTCAGTGCTTTGGGATTCGGTGCTTTTGGGTTTGGTGCATCAGGATTTGGTGCTTTGGGGTTCATTTCTTCGGGTTTGCTGTGTCCAGGCTTGGGGCTTTGAGGTTTGGGGCTTTGGGGTTTGGAGCTTTAGGGTTCATTGTTTTGGGGTTTGGTGCATCAGGGTTTGGTGCTTTGGGGTCAATACTTCGCATTTTGGTGCTTTGGGTTCTGGTGCATCAGGGTTCAGAGCATCAGGGTTTGGTGCTTTGGGGTTTGGTGTGTCCAGATTCAGTCTTTGGGGTTTGGTGCTTTGGGGTTTGGTGCTTTGGGGTTTGGTGCCTCAGGGTTTGAAGCTTTGGGGTTCATTTCTTCGGGATCTGGTGAGTCCAGGTTGGGGAAATGGGGTTCAGTGCTTTGGGGTTTCAGTGCTTTGGGGTTTCAGTGCTTTGGGGTTCATTGCTTTGGGGTTTCAGTGCTTTGGGGTTTGGTGTGTCAGGGTTCAGAGCATAGGGTTCGGTGCTTTGGGGTTTGGTGTGCCCAGATTCAGTGCTTTGGGATTTGGTTCTTTGGGATTTGGTTCTTTGGGGTTTGATGCATCAGGGTTTGGTGCTTTGGGGTTTGGTTCTGTGGGGTTCAATGCTTTGGGGTTTGGAGCTTTGGGGTTTCAGTGCTGTGGGGTTTGGTGCACCAGGGTTTGCTGCTTTGGGGTTTGCTGCTTTGGGGTTTGCTGCTTTGGGGTTTGGTGCTTTGGGGTTTGGTGCTTTGGGGTTCAGTGTTTTGGGGCTTGGTGCTTTGGGGTTTGATGTATCACAATTTGCTTCTATTGGGTTCATTGCTTTGGGGTTTGGTGCTTTGGGGTTTCAGTGCTTTGGGGTTTGGTTCATCAGGTTTCAGTGCTTTGGGGTTCAATGTTTTGGGGTTTGGGGCTTTGGGGGTTTGATGTATCAGGATTTGCTTCTTTGGGGTTCAGTGCTTTGGGGTTTCAGTGCACCAGGGTTCCACTCACTGGGGTTTCGTGTGTCAGATGTTGGAGCTTTGGGTGTTTCGTTGCTTTGGGGGTTGGTGCATCAGCTTTTTGTCCGTCCAGGTTCAGTGCAGGCGGTGAAGCTGCAGCTGCTTCAGCTGTGTTTTCCCCCCTGCACAAACAGCTCCAGGATGAGCCTCCCCAGCACCGAGACCCCGCGACGCCTCTCCATGCAGCAGCGAGGTCAGCCCTCCATTGCACACTCAGTTGCACACCCAGTTGCACATCCTTGCACACCCCTTGCCGTGCTTTGCTGCACGCCCCATGGCACGGCCTTGCCCTCTCCATTGCCATGGCACACTTTGTTGCACACTGCATGGCTCACTCTGTGCCACATCCTTGCACACTCCATGGCATGCACTGCTGCAAACTCTTGCCTCACTCCATGGCACAGTTTGTTGCACACTCCTTCACACACTCCTTGGCACATCCCCATGGCACACTTTGTTGCACGCTCCTTGGCTCACTGTGCCACATCCCTGCACACTCAGTGGCACACTTTGTTGCACACTTTTTGGCACACTCATTGACACACTCCACGGCACACTTTCTTGCACACTCCATGGCTCACTCTGTGCCACATCCCTGCACACTCCATGGCACAATCTGTTGCACACTCCTTGACACACTCCTAGGCACATCCCCACGGCACATTTTGTTGCACTCTCAATGGCTCACTCTGTGCCACATCCTTGCACACTTCATGGCATGCTCCATTGCACACTCCCTGGCACACTTGCACGCTCCTTGGCTCACTGTGGCACATCCCTGCACACTCCATGCCATGCTTTACTGCACACTTTTTGGCACACTCATGGACACACTCAATGGCACATTTTATTGCACGCTCCATGGCTCACTCTGTGGCACATCCTTTCACACTCCCATGCCACGTTCTGTTGCACCCTGCATGGCTCACTCTGTGCCACATCCTTGCACACTCCATGGCATGCACTGCTGCAAACTTGCCTCACTCCATGGCACATCCTTGCACACTTCTTGCCTCACTTTTTGGCACAATTTGCTGCACACTTTTTGGCACACTTTGTTGCACACTGCATGGCTCACTCTGGCACGTCCCTGCACGCTCCATGGCACAATTTGTTGCACACTCCTTGGCTCACTCTGTGGCACATCCTTGCACACTGCATGGCACGCTTTGTTGCACATCCTTGGCACACTCTGTTGCACACTCCTTGGCTCACTCTGGCACATCCCTGCATGCTCCATGGCACACATTGTTGCACACTTCATGGCTCATTCTGGCACATCCCTGCACATCCCCATGGCACATTTTGTTGCACACTCCTTGGCACATCCCCATGGCACATTTTGTTGCACTCTGCATGGCTCACTGTGTCACATCCCTGCACACTCCATGGCACACTTTGTTGCACACTCCATTGCACATTTTGTTGCACACTCCTTGACTCACTGTGCCACATCCTTGCACACTCCATGGCACACTTTGTTGCACACTTCATGGCTCATTCTGGCACATCCCTGCACATCCCCATGGCACACTTTGTTGCACATCCTTGGCACATTTTGTTGCACACTCCTTGACTCACTGTGGCGCATCCTTGCACACTCCATGGCATGCACTGCTGCAAACTCTTGCCTCACTCCATGGCACACTTTGCTGCACACTTTGTTGCACACTCCTTCACACACTCCTAGGCACATCCCCATGGCACACTTTGTTGCACTCTCAATGGCTCACTGTGCCACATCCCTGCACACCCCACGGCTCATTTTGTTGCGCACCCCACGGCACGCTTTGCTCCGCACCCCCCCACACTGCACACAGCCCATCCTTGCACGCTCCCCCCTCACCCCACGGCCCATTTCTTCACACTCCAACCAACGCCACCCCCCACACCCCCAATCCCCCCCCCCTCAGCTCCACCTCCCAATTCAGCACGTGTTTCTCTCCGCACACAGAAGACAGGGACCCCCCCCCCCCCCCCACCACCACCCATCCCCACTCCTCCTCCTTCCATGATTGAATCCCCCCTCCTCACCCTATCTTATCCCCTCCCCCCCAGGCCCCAGCAGCATCAACCAGCTGGGGGGGGTCTACACCAACGGCTGCCCTCTCCCCCCATGCAAGAGGCAGAGCATCATCCTGCTGGCAGCACGCGGCGTGCGCAGCACCGACATCTCCCGCAGCCTCCAGGTACGCACTGACTTGGAGGCGGGGGGGGGGGGGGGGGGGGGAAGGGGGATCCTCACCATCCCACCCCCCCAAATCCCCCCCCCACCTCCCCAAATCCACCCCATAGGTGTCCAATGGTTGCGTCAGCAAAATCTTGAGCCGTTATTACCGGACCGGTTCGGTGAGACCTAAAAGTTTGCGGGGTGGCAAAGCTCGTGCTGTTCCCCCCCCCGTGGTGGCACGAATCGCGCAGCTGAAGCGTGAGCGGCCGTCCCTCTTCGCGTGGGAGATCAGGCAGCAGCTGCGCCTCGAGGGGCTCTGCGGCAACCAGAGCAGCCCCAGCGTGAGTGGGGATGGAGAGGGGGGGAAAGGGGGGAGGTTGGGATGCGTGGGGATGGGAGGGTGGGGGTCCTGGGACTGGGGGTGCGTGGGGATGTGAGGGTTTGGGTCCCGTTTTGGGGTGGGTACATGAGGATGTCGGGATGGGGGTCCTGTGTTTGAGGGGGGTTGCATAGGGATGTGAGGGTGGGGGTCCCATATTGAGGGGTGGCTGAATGGGGATGTGAGGGTGGGGGTCCCGTTTTGGGGTGGGTGTGTGGGGATGTAAGGGTGGGGGTCCCGTGTTTGCGGGGATGCATGGGGATGTGAGGGTGGGGGTCCTGGGATTGGAGGTTGGGTGAATGGGGATGTGAGGGTGGGGGTCCCATTTTGGGGTGGCTGTATGGAGATGTGAGGGTGGGGGTCCTGGGACTGGGGGTGCGTGGGGATGTGAGGGTTTGGGTCCCGTTTTGGGGTGGGTACATGAGGATGTCGGGATGGGGGGTCCTGTGTTTGAGGGGGGTTGCATAGGGAATGTGAGGGTGGGGGTCCCATATTGAGGGGTGGCTGAATGGGGATGTGAGGGTAGGGGTCTCGTTTTCGGGGGGCATGCATGGGGATATGAGGGTTTGGGTCCCATTTTGGGGTGGGAACATGAGGATGTCGGGATGGGGGTCCTGTGTTTGGGGATGGTTGCATAGGGATGAGAGGGTGGGGGTCCCATATTGAGAGGTGGCTGAATGGGGATGTGAGGGTGGGGGTCTCGTTTTGGGGGGGGATGCATGGGGATGTGAGGGTGGGGGGTCCTGGGATTGGGGGTTGGATGGGGATGGGGGAGTGGGGGTCCCATTTTGGGGGGGGAACATGAGGATGTCGGGACGGGGGGTCCTGTGTTTGGGGATGGTTGCAAAGGGATGTGAGGGTGGGGGTCCCATGTTTGGGGGCATGCATGGGGATGTGAGGGTTTGGGTCCCATTTTGGGGGGGGGAACATGAGGAGGTCAGGATGGGGGTCCTGTGTTTGGGAATGGTTGCATAGGGATGAGAGGGTGGGGGTCCCATTTTTAGTGGGTGGCTGAATGGGGATGTGAGGGTGGGGGTCCCATTTTGGGGGGGGTTGCATGGGGGATATGAGGGTAGGGGGTACTGGGATTGGTTTACATGGGGATGTGAGGGTGGGGGTCCCATTTTGGGGTGGCTGTATGGAGATGTGAGGGTGGGGGTCCTGGGATTGGGGGTTGGGTGGGGATGGGAGGGTGGGGGTCCCATTTTGGGGTGGGAACATGAGGATGTCGGGATGGGGGTCCTGTGTTTGGGGATGGTTGCAAAGGGATGTGAGGGTGGGGGTCCCATATTGAGGGGTGGCTGAATGGGGATGTGAGGGTAGGGGTCCCATGTTTGGGGGTTGGGTCTCATGTTTGGGGTGAGTGTGTGGAGATGCAAGATGGGGGGTCCCATGTTTGGGGGGATGCATGGGGATGTGAGGTTAGGGGTCCTGGGATTGGGGGTTGGGAGGGGATGGAAGGGTGGGGGTCCCGTTTTGGGGTGGCTGTATGGAGATGTGAGGGTGGGGGTCCCGGGATTGGAGGTTGGGTGGGGATGTGAGGGTTTGGGTCCCATTTTGAGGGGGGGGGGGAACATGAGGAGGTCAGGATGGGGGTCCTGTGTTTGGGGATGGTCGCATAGGGATGAGAGGGTGGGGGTCTCATTTTGGGGTGGGTTTGTGGGGATGTTGGGATGGGGGTCCTGTATTTGGGGGAGGTTGCCTAGGGATGAGCGGGTGGGGGTCCCATATTGAGGGGTGGCTGAATGGGGATGTGAGGGTGGGGGTCCCATTTTGGGGGGGGTTGCATGGGGGATATGAGGGTAAGGGGTTCTGGGATTGGTTTACATGGGGATGGGAGGGTGGGGGTCCCATTTTTCAGGGGTGGCTGAATGGGGATGTGAGGCTGGGGGGGGTCCTGGGTTTGGGGGTGCAAGGAGATACGAGAGCGGGGGTCTCATAATTGGGGTGAGCTGCATAGGGCCAGACTGGGGAGGATTTGGGGTGGGGGGAAGCTGCTTCTCCTGCCCCATGGTGCTGCCCACCCCCTTCCTCTTCCCCCCCCCCCCCCCAATCCCATCTGCAGCCCCATCTCCTCCCCAGGTCTCCTCCATCAATCGGGTGCTCAGGGCTCTGCAGGGCGCGCTGAGCCCCACTGTGCTGCCGGGGGGGGAGAACGCAGGTATGTGCACACATGTGGCTGTGCATGCACACCTGCAGGCATGCAAACACACACAGGGATGCATGCAGATACCTGCAGGCATGCACAGACACAAGGATGCACAGATATTTGCAGACGTGCACGCAAAGGGATGCATGCAGACACCTGCAGGCATGCACAGACACAAGGATGCACAGATATTTGCAGACGTGCACGCACAGGGATGCATGCAGACACCTGCAGGCATGCACAGACACGAGGATGCACAGATATTTGCAGACGTGCACGCACAGGGATGCATGCAGACACCTGCAGGCATGCACACACACGTTTGGATGCATGCCTATTTGCAGACATGCACACACGTTAGGATGCACACACACACATGGATGCACGCACCCACTGTCTCCTTTCCTATGCCCACCCTTCCCCCTCCATCCCAGCCCCCTCCTCTCCCATCACAGCTGCAGAACCCCAGCCCCCCCCAGGACCCCCCCCAGGCCGCAGCAGGCAGCGCAGCAGGACGACGCTGTCCCAGCAGCAATCCAAAGCCCTGGAGGAAGGTGGGGGTCCGTTGGGCTTCATTGGGTTGGGAAGGGGGTTGGAGGGGGGGGGGGGCAAAGGCTGGGGGCTGATTGCACCCCGTCTGCAGAGTTCCAAAGGGGAAAATACCCAGACAGCAGCACACGAGGACGATTGGCTGCGGCCACTCGACTGCCAGACATCACCATCCAGGTATGGTGCTTGGGCGCACCTGTCTTGCACGTGTGTGTGCTGCACAGGCCCCTGTTGCACACCCCTGCGTTGCATACGGCTGTGTTGCACATGCATGCCTTGCACACACCCCCATTGTGCACCCCTGTGTTGCTTATGGCTTTTTTGCACATGCGTGTGCTGCACAGGCCCCCGTTGCAAACCCCTGTGCTGCACGTTCCTGTTTTGCACATGCGTATGTTGCACAGGCCCCCATTGCACACCCTTGTATTGCTTATAGCTGTTTTGCACGTGAGTGTGTTGCACAGGCCCCCATTGCACACCCCTGCATTGCACATGCTTGTTTTGCACGTGTGTGTGTTGCAGACCCTCATTCTGCACTCCTGTGTTGAATGTGCCTGCTTTGCACACGCACGTGTTGCACAGACCCCCATTCTGCACCCCCGTGTTGCACGTTTCTGTTTTGCACGTGTGTGTGTTGCACAGGCCCCCATTGCACAACCCTGTGTTGCATACGGCTGTTTTGCCCATGCATGCCTTGCACAGAGCTGCATTGTGCACAGCTGTGTTGCTTATGGCTGCTTTGCACATGCATGCGTTGCACAGGCCCCCATTGCACACCCCTGTGCTGCACATCCTTGTTTTGCACGTGTGTGTGTTTGCACAGACCCCCATTCTGCACCCCTGTGTTCCACCTGTCTGTTTTGCACAAGCATTTGTTGCACGGACCCCCCCACTGTGCACCCCTGTGCTGCGTGTGCATGTCTTGGGCACAAGCATTTTGCACACTCCATGGCACACACCTGCACGTTGCAAGGCACGTCCTTGCACCCTCTCTTGCACACTCCTTGCAAGGCACATCCTTGCACACTCCTTAGCACACTCTCTTGCACGCTCCTTGGCACATTGCAAAGCACATCCTTGCACACTCCTTGGCACACTCTCTTGCACACTCCTTGGCACATTGCATGGCACATCCTTGCACACTCCTTAGCACACTCCCTTGCACACTCCTTGGCACATTGCAAAGCACATCCTTGCACACTCCTTAGCACACTCCCTTGCACGCTCCTTGGCACATTGCAAGGCACATCCTTGCACACTCCTTAGCACACTCTCTTCCACACTCCTTGGCACATTGCACAGCACATCCTTGCACACTCCTTAGCACACTCTCTTGCACGCTCCTTGCCACGTCCCAGCATCCCAGAGCACAGAGGGGGCACAACCTCACCATCTCCCCCCCTCTCCCCCCCCCCCCCATCCCCAGGTGTGGTTCTCCAACAGAAGAGCCAAATGGCGACGTGAAGCCAGGCAGGGGATGGAGGCCAATGGTGCAGGTGAGAGCCCCCAGGTTGGGGGGGGAAGAGGGGGGGGCAAGACCCCCATCTTATGGCCTAGGAGGGGCTGGGGGCTGCAAAGGAGTCTGGGGAGGGGGCACGGCCTCTGCTTGTGCACCCCAACCCAACGCAGGGTCCCCCATGCAGGCTCCTGGTGTGAGTGGCTCCTGTCCCCCCCTGCCACGGCAGCCCCCATCTCTGCACAGGTAGGAGAGGGGCTGGACCTGCATGGGGAGGGGGGGGGGGGGTCTGTACTGCTTCCCAGCATCTCCTCCCCCCCCACACCCCCCCAAAAATGTCATCCTGAAGGGCTGGAGCGTGCAGCCATGGGGACACCCTCCCCAGGAGACCCCCCCAATATGCAACCCCCCCTTCCCCCAATATGACCCAGCTCATCCAATGGATGCTGGGTGATGCTCTGCTCTCTGCTCCCCCTCCCCCCCCCCCCCCCAGCACCTCCCAGCTGCTCCCCCCAGCTTCTCAGAGCCCCTCGGAGCCCCCCCAGGCCCTCTGATCCCTCTGCACCTCTGCACCCCCAGATCTCGCTCATGGGATGCTGGCTGCTGCGGTAAGGAGGGCTGGGGGGGGGGGGAAGGATGAAGCCTTTGGGGGGGGGGAGTGGGCACAGCCAAGGAGGGGTCTCAGGGCACTGCGTGGTGCTTAGGGGCTGCAGGGACCTCCTCCCCATTTACCCCCAACCCCATGAGGGTCTGCAGTGGGATGAGTGCCTTCACCCCCCCCCCCAACCCCATGAGGGTCTGCAGTGGGATGGGTGCCTTCACCCCCCCCCCAGCCCCACCAGGGTCTGCAGGGGGATGGGTGCCTTCACCCCCCCCCCCCCCCCCAGCCCCACGAGGGTCTGCAGAGGGATGGGTGCCTTCACCCCCACCCCCAACCCCATGAGGGTCTGCAGGGGGATGGGTGCCTTCACCCCCCCCTCAGCCCCATGAGGGTCTGCAGGGGGATGGGTGCCTTCACCCCCACCCCCCCAGCCCCACGAGGGTCTGCAGTGGGATGGGCGCCTTCACCCTCCTCCCCCCAGCCTCATGAGGGTCTGCAGGGGGATGGGTGCCTTCACCCCCCCCCTACCTGATCCCTGTGCCATCCCGCAGGCAGCAGCCCCCTCCCAACTCCCTGGCAGCCCTTGGAGGGCCCCCCCTTGGCCCTGCTGCCCTCCTGCCCCCCGCTGCACCCCACTGCCCACCTCCATGCTCCCCCCCTACCCCTGACTCTGAGCATGCCGGGCAGTGGGGGGTTGCAGCACGGGGCCCCCGGATCGTGCACCAGAGGAGGATGGACACATGTGGATTCATATTGATCTGAAGGCATTGCACCAAAAATGGCTGTCCTGTAAAGCCCTCCACGCTCTGTTCTTTGCTCTAAATAAAAAGCTTTGGGGTTTTGTTTATGTAGAAATGTAATTTAATGATAGAACCACGGCCAACTCCTCCGTTGCCACCACAGAGCCTTGTTTTATTTGAAGAAGATTGACACTGGTGTCCAGAAGAGGGCTTTGTACGTGGGAAAAAAATGCTTTTTGTGAGCAAAAATTGTTCTATGGGGACCTCTAAGCAAAAAAAAAAAGAAAACCAAACCACCATCCCTGGAGCACACTGATATCCCAGTTGTTCTGCCCTGCAGAAAGATGGGGACTGTTCCCTCCCCATTTTCCTCAGCATCTGAGTTCAGTCCTGAGATCACAGAGCCATGGAATGGATGGGATTGGGGTTAGGGTTGGGATTGGGTTGGGTTGAGTTGGGGTTGGGTTGGCATTGGGGTTCAGCTAGAGTTGGGATTGAGTTGGGGTTGGGTTGACATCGGGGTAGGGTGAGGGTTGGGATTGAGTTGGGGTTGGGGTTGGGGTTGGTGTTGGGTTGGGTATTGGGTTGGTATTGGGCTTGGGTTGGGGTTTGGGGTTGAGTTTGGGGTTTGGGATTGAGTTGGGTTTGGGGTTGGTGTTGGTGTTGGGTTGGTATTGGGCTTGGGTTAGGGTTGGGATTGAGTTGGGGTTGGGTTTGGGGTTGGGATTGAGTTGGGGTTGGGTTTGGGGTTGGATTGGGGTTGGGATTGAGTCGGGGTTGGGTTTGGGGTTGGGTTGGGGTTGGGATTGAGTTGGGGTTGGGTTTGGGGTTGGGTTGGGGTTGGTGTTGGTTTTGGGTGTTGGATTGGTGTTGGTTTGGGGGTCAGGTTGGTATTGGGGTTGGGTTGCGGTTGGTTTGGGATTGAATTGGGGTTCAGGTTGGTGTTGAGGTTGGGGTTGGGTTGGCTTTGGGATTGAGTTGAGGTTGGGGTTGGGTTAGGATTGATGTTGGGTTGGGGGTTGGGTTGGCATTGGGGTTGAGTTAGGTTTGGGATTGAGTTGGAGCTGGGGTTGGGATTGGGTTTTGATTGAATTGGGGTTGGGTTAGGGTTGGTTTGGGATTGGGGTTTAGTTAGGGTTGGGATTGGGATAGATTTGGGGTTGGTTTGGAGTTGGATTGGGATTGAGTTTGGGTTGGGGTTGGGGTTGGGTTGTGTGTTGGGTTGGTGTTAGTTTGGGGGTCAGGTTGGTATTGGGGCTGGGTTAGGGTTGGGATTGGGTTGGGATTGAATTGGGGTTGAGATTGGTGTTGAGGTTGGGGTTGGGTTGGCATTGGGGTTCAGTTGGAGTTGCGATTGAGTTGGGGTTGGATTGGGGTTAGGTTGTAATTGGGGTTGGGTTAGGGTTAGGCTTGGGATTGAGTTGGGGTTGGGTTGGGATTGAATTGGGGTTGAGATTGGTGTTGAGTTGGGGTTGGGGTTGGCATTGGGATTGAGTTGAGGTTGGGTTAGGGTTGGGGTTGGCTTGGGATTGGGGTTGGGTTAGGGTTGGGATTGAGTTGGGGTTGGGGTTGATGTTGGGTTGGTGTTGGCTTGGGGGTTGGTGCTGAGTTTGGTTAGGGCTAGGTTTGGGATTGACTTGGAGCTGCGTTTGCGATTGGGTTGGGATTGAGCTGGGGTTGGGTTAGGGTTGGGGATGGTTTGGGATTGGGTTGGGATTGGGGTTGGGTTAGGGTTAGTCTTGGGATTGAGTTGGGGCTGGGGTTGGGGTTGAGGTTGGGGTTGGGATTGGGTTGGGATTGAGTTGGGGTTGGGTTGGATTTGGGGTTGGTTTGGGATTGGAGTTGGCTTAGGGTTAGGGCTGGGGTTGAGTCAGGGTTGGATTTGGTGTTGGATTGGGTGTTGGTTTGGTGTTGGTTTGGGGGTTGGGTTGGTATTGGGGTTGGGTTAGGGTTGAGATTGAGTTGGGGTTGGGTTTGGGTTGGGATTGAGTTGACTTTGAGCTTGGGTTGGGTTGCATTGCATTGGGGTTGGGGTTGGGGGTGGGGTTGGGGTTGGAATTGGGATTGAGTTGGGGTTGGGATTGGGATTGAGTTGGGGTTGGGTTGCATTGCATTGGGGTTGGGGTTGGGATTGGGGTTGGGATTGGGATTGAGTTGGGGTTGGATTGCATTGGGTTGGGGTTGGGTTGAGATTGAGTTGGGCTGGAGATGTAGTGGTGTTGGGGTCAAGTTTGAGGTTTGGGGTTGGTTTGGGATTGAGTTGGGTTGGCATTGGATTGAATTGGGGTTGAAGTTGGGTTGGGGTCCAATTTGGGGTTTGGGGTTGGGTTCACTTGGGGTCAGAGTTGGGTTGGGGTTGGACTGGGGTTGGGGTTTGGGCTGGGATTGAGTTTGGGTTGGGGTTGGAGAGTTGGTTTAAGGTTGGGGTTGGAGTTGGGGTCGGGTTGGGTTGGAGTTGGGTTGAGTTGGGGTTGGGATTGGGCTGGCTTGCACTGGGTTGGGGTTGGGATTGAGTTTGGGTTGGGGTTGGAGAAGGGTTGGGGTTGGGTTTGGGGTTCAGAGTTGGGTTGGGTTTGAGTTGGGGTTGTGCTGAAGTGGGATTGGGGTTGGGTTGCATTGGTTTGGGGGTGGGGTTAGTGTTGGGTTGTAATTGGGGTTGGGATTGAGTGGGATTGAAGTTGGAGTGGCTTTGGGGTAGGTTTGGAATTGTGATGGGGTTGTGTTGTATTGGGGTTGGGTCGGGACGGAGTTGGGTTGGAGATAGGAGTTGGGTTGGATCGCATTGGGTTGTGTTGGGTTGGATTGGGTTGGGTCTGAGTTGGGTTGGGGTTGGATTGAATTGGGATTGGGGTTGGATTGAATTGGGATTGGGGTTGGGTTGGAGTTGAGTTACGTTGTGTTGGAGTTGGTTGAGCTTGGGTTGGGTTTGGGGTTGGGATAGGGTAGAGTTGGGGTTGTGCTGAGGTTGGGTTACGTTGGGTTGAGTTGGGGTGGAGTTGGGGTTGGGTTGGGATTAGATTTGAGTTGAGCTGGGGTTGGGTTTGGGGTTGGGGCTGGGGCTGGGTTGGGTTTGGGTTTGAGTTGGGATTGGGTTGGGGCTGGGTTGGGTTTGGGTTTGAGTTGGGATTGGGTTGGGGCTGGGTTGAGTTTGAGTTAGGATTGGGTTGGGGCTGTGTTGGGTTTGAGTTGGGGTTGGGTTGGGGCTGGGTTGGGTTTGAGTTTGAGTTGGGATTGGGTTGGGGCTGGGTTGAGTTTGAGTTAGGATTGGGTTGGGGCTGTGTTGGGTTTGAGTTTGAGTTGGGATTGGGTTGGGGCTGGGTTGAGTTTGAGTTAGGATTGGGTTGGGGCTGGGTTGGGTTTGGGTTGGGATTGGGTTGGGGCTGGGTTGAGTTTGAGTTAGGATTGGGTTGGGGCTGTGTTGGGTTTGAGTTTGAGTTGGGATTGGGTTGGGGCTGGGTTGAGTTTGAGTTAGGATTGGGTTGGGGCTGGGTTGGGTTTGAGTTGGGATTGGGTTGGGGCTGGGTTGGGTTTGAGTTGGGGTTGGGTTGGGGCTGGGTTGGGTTTGAGTTGGGGTTGGGTTGGGGCTGTGTTGGGTTTGGGTTTGAGTTGGGGTTGGGTTGAGGCTGGGTTGGGTTTGGGTTTGAGTTGGGATTGGGTTGGGGCTGGGTTGAGTTTGAGTTAGGATTGAGTTGGGGCTGGGTTGAGTTTGAGTTGGGGTTGGGTTGGGGCTGTGTTGGGTTTGAGTTTGAGTTGGGATTGGGTTGGGGCTGGGTTGAGTTTGAGTTAGGATTGGGTTGGGGCTGTGTTGGGTTTGAGTTTGAGTTGGGATTGGGTTGGGGCTGGGTTGAGTTTGAGTTAGGATTGGGTTGGGGCTGGGTTGGGTTTGAGTTTGAGTTGGGATTGGGTTGGGGCTGGGTTGAGTTTGAGTTAGGATTGGGTTGGGGCTGGGTTGGGTTTGAGTTAGGATTGGGTTGGGGCTGGGTTGGGTTTGGGTTGGGGTTGGGTTGGGGCTGTGTTGGGTTTGGGTTTGAGTTGGGATTGGGTTGGGTTTGGGTTGGGTTTGAGTTAGGATTGGGTTGGGGCTGTGTTGGGTTTGAGTTGGGATTGGGTTGGGGCTGGGTTGGGTTTGGGTTGGGATTGGGTTGGGGCTGGGTTGGGTTTGAGTTTGAGTTGGGATTGGGTTGGGGCTGGGTTGAGTTTGAGTTAGGATTGGGTTGGGGCTGTGTTGGGTTTGAGTTTGAGTTGGGATTGGGTTGGGGCTGGGTTGAGTTTGAGTTAGGATTGGGTTGGGGCTGGGTTGGGTTTGGGTTGGGGTTGGGTTGGGGCTGTGTTGGGTTTGGGTTTGAGTTGGGATTGGGTTGGGCTGGGTTGGGTTTGAGTTGGGATTGGGTTGGGTTTGGGTTGGGTTTGAGTTAGGATTGGGTTGGGGCTGTGTTGGGTTTGAGTTGGGGCTGTGTTGGGTTTGAGTTTGAGTTGGGATTGGGTTGGGGCTGGGTTGAGTTTGAGTTAGGATTGGGTTGGGGCTGTTTTGTGCTGTGTTGGGGTTGGGATGCATTGGGTTGGGGTTAGGAGCTGGGTCGGGGTTGAGTTTGAAGGATCCTTAAAGATCATAGAACCATAGAATTGTTGAGTGGATGAGTTCCTGAAATCATAGAACGGTTGGAAGGGACCCCAAATACCCCCCAGCACCAACCCCTGCCATGGTCTGAGTGCCCACCACCAGCTCAGGATGCCCAGGGCCTCATCCAGCTCTATTCCTGTTTATCAGTTCCCTTCAGGATCCGGAGAGGGGTTGGGATTGGGGATGGGATGGGGACAAGAATGGGATGTGGCCGAGATGGAGAGGGCCGCACGAGGACAGCGATGGGGGCAGCGTTTGGCCATGGGGTCGGGGGGCCAGAATGCATTTTCATACACAGGTCTTCAAAAGTACTTAAAAACTGAACTGCCCGGATAATAATAATAATAATAATAATAATAATAATAATAATAATAATAATAATAACAGTAGTAATGCAGGGGATGTGAAACATGCTCAGCTCTTCCAGTCTATATGGTAGGGGTCATGACTGCTCGTGCTCCTTCCTCAGCTCCCTGAGGATTCCTCCGGCCGTGCTGCAAACCCCACCAGTGCCCCCCATGTGGGGAAGGAGGAGGAGGGGGGTGCTGTGAAATCCCACAAATGCCACGTCTCCCCAGCACTGCTGGAGGTGTGTCAGGGTACGATGCTCATTGCAGGATGGCCATTGGGAACGTTGAAATCAGGGACCCCCAGGATGGTAACACCCATCGCCTGGGGACATCAGCCCCTTGTCCGTGCACTGCAGCACCCCACAGGGACAGCAGCACCCCACAAGGACAGCCAGCAGCCCACAGGGACAGCCAGAACCCCATAGAGACAGCCAGAACCCCATAGAGACAGCCAGCACCCCACAGGGACAACCAGAACCCCATAGGGACAGCCAGCACCCCATAGAGATAGCCAGCACCCCACAAGGACAGCCAGAATCCCATAGGGACAGCCAGAACCCCATAGAGATAGCCAGCACCCCACAAGGACAGCCAGAACCCCATAGAGACAGCCAGAACCCCATAGAGACAGCCAGCACCCCACAGGGACAACCAGAACCCCATAGGGACAGCCAGCACCCAACAGGGACAGCGAGCATCCCATAGGGGCAGCCAGAACCCCATAGAGACAGCCAGCACCCCATAGGGACAGCCAGAACCCCATAGGGACAGCCAGAATCCCACAGGGACAGCCAGCACCCCACAGGGACAGCCAGCACCCCATAGGGACAGCCAGCACTCCACAAGGACAGCCAACACTCAACAGGGACAACCAACACCCAACAGGGACAGCCAGCAGCCCATAGGGACAGTCAGCACCCCACAGGGACAGCCAGCACCCCACGGGGACTGCCAGCACCCCATAGGGACAGCCAGAACCCCACAAGGACAGCACTCCATGAGGACAGCCAGACCCCCATAGAGACAGCCAGCACCCCATAGGAATCACCAGCACCCTATAGGGATAGCTAGCACCCCACAGGGACAGCCAGAACCCCATAAGGACAGCCAGCACCCCATAAGGACAGCCAACATCCCATAGAGACAGCCAGCAACCCATAGAAACCACCAGCACCCCTGAAGGATAGTGCTCCATGAGGACAGCAGCACCCTACAAGGACAACCAGCACCCCATAGAGACAGCCAGCACCGCACAGGGAAAACCAGCACCCCATAGGGATTGCACTCCATGAGGACAGCAGGACCCCATAGGGACAGCCAGCACCCCATAGGGACAGCCAGCACCCCATAGAGACAGCCAGCACCCCATAGGGACAGCCAGAAACCCATAGAGACAGCCAGCACCCCACAGGGACAGCATTCGATGAGGAGAGCCAGTACTCCATAGGGACAGCCAGAACTCCACAGGGACAGCCAACACCCCTTAGGGACAGCCAACACCCTATGAAGACAGCAGCACCCCACAAGGACAGCCAGCACCCTACAAGGAGAGCCAGCAACCCATAGGGACAGCCAACACCCCTTAGGGACACCCTATGAAGACAGCAGCACCCCACAAGGAGAGCCAGCACCCTACAAGGACAGCCAGCACCCCATAGAGATAGCCAGCACCCCATAGGGACAGCCAGAACCCCATAGGGACAGCCAGCACCCCATGAAGACAGCAGCACCTTACAAAGACAGCCAGCAAACCATAGGGACAGCCAGAACCCCACAATGACATCAGCACCCCACAATGACAGCCAGCAGCTCATAGGGACATCCAGAACCCCACTGGGACAACCAACACCCCATAGAGACAGCCAGCACCCCATAGGGACAGTCAGCACCCTACAGGGACAGCCAGCACCCCACAGGGACAGCCAGCACCCCTTAGGAACAGCCAGAACCCCATAGGGACTGCCAGCACCCCATAGGGACAGCATTCGATGAGGAGAGCTAGTACACCATAGGGACAGCCAGAACCCCACAGGGACAGCCAGAACCCCTTAGGGACAGCCAACACCCTATGAAGACAGCAGTACTCCACAGCACTCCATGAGGACAGCCAGACCCCCATAGAGACAGCCAGCACCCCATAGGAATCGCCAGCACACTATAGGGAGAGCCAGCACCCTACAAGGACAGCCAGAAACCCATAGGGACAGTCAGCAACCCATAGGGACAGCCAGCATCTCATAGGGACATCCAGAACCCCACAGGGACAGCCAGCACCCCATAGGGACAGCCAGAATCTCATAGGGACATCCAGAACCCCACAGGGACAGCCAGAACCCCATAGGGACAGCCAGCACCCCATAGGGACAGCCAGCATCTCATAGGGACATCCAGAACCCCATAGGGACAGTCAGCACCCCACAGGGACAGCCAGAACCCCATAGGGACAGCCAGCACCCCACGAAGACAGCAGCACTCCACAAGGACAGCCAGCACCCTACAAGGAGAGCCAGCACCCATAGGGACAGCCAGCACCCCATAGGGCCAGCCAGCACCCCACATTGACAGCCAGCACCCCCCCAGCACTCATCCCCTTCCAGTGCTGGGCAGGCTCTTTCCCTCAGGCTTCATGCAGTCCCACTAATTGCAGCCCAATTAGCTGTCCTACAGCGCACACCCCAGAGCCGACCCCACCATCCCAAACCTCTCCCTGCGCAGCATTGACGCTGCTGGACAACTCGGGGAGGACAAAAGCACTGCAGAGCTCTGCCCACCTCCTCTGCAGCCCGGCACGGTGCAGGCAGCACTTTATTAAGCTCCCATTCCCCATTCATTTGTGGTGGATAAAAATTGGGGTTCCATAACCGGAGCTGTGGGTCGGTGAGGTCCAAGTCCTATCCAAGACACACACGGAGACGAGGCCACAGCTGGAGGTAAGGGGAGGGGGAAAGAAAAACATCCCCCCTCCCCACTTGAAAAATAAGGGTAGAAAAGAAAGAGAACCGAAGGACAGCAGTTGGAGGGGACGTCCCGACTCATCTTAGCGCTTGGAGAGCTCGTGTGACAGCCAGTCCAGCCCGTCGTACAGCCCCGTGCCCTGCGTGGCACACGTCGCCTGCACGTACCACTGTGGGACACGAGGGAGAGGACAAGGGTGGGATGGTTAGGGTTGGAAAACAGCTCTGCTTTCGTCGCGTCCAACCACCAGCCCAACCCCTGGCGCGTGGGATCTGAGGATCACAGAGTCGTTGAGGTTGGAGAAGACCTCAAAAAGCGTCAAGTCCAACGGTTGACCCAACGCAACCAATCCCAGCTATAGGATCATCCCATCCCCACCACCCCTCTTGCGGGATCACAGTCATAAAGGTTGGAGAAGAGCTCTACGATCACTGAGTCCAACCATGACCCCATTTCCACTTATGGGATCACAGAGTCATTAAGGCTGGAGAAGACCTCTACGATCAAGTCCAACCACCAACCCATCCCCATCATCCCATCCCCATCACCCCCTCTTATAGGGTCACAGAATCATTCAGGTTGGAGAAGAGCTCTATGATCAGTGAGTCCAACCATCATCCCATCCCCATCACCTCCTCTTATAGGATCACATAGTCATAAAGGTTGGAGAAGACCTCTACGATCAAGTCCAACCACCAACCCATCCCCATCATCCCATACCCATCCCCCCCTTCTTATAGGGTCACAGAGTCATTAATGTTGGAGAAGACCTCTATAATCAATTCCAAGCACCAACGCATCCCCACCATCCCACCCCCATCACCTCCTCTTATAGGGTCACAGAATCATTCAGGTTGGAGAAGACCTCTACAATCAAGTCCAACCACCAACCCATCCCCACCATCCCATCCCCATCACCTCCTCTTATAGGATCACAGAATCATTCAGGTTGGAGAAGACCTCTGTGATCACTTACTCCAACAGTTGATCCATCCCAGCCACTTATAGGATCACTGAATATATAAGGTTGCAGAAGACTTCCACAATCATTGAGTCCAACCATCATCCCATTTCCACCATACTCTCTTATAGGATCACAGAGTCATTAAGGCTGGAGAAGACCTCTACGATCAAGTCCAACCACCAACCCGTCCCCATCATCCCATACCCATCCCCCCCTTCTTATAGGGTCACAGAGTCATAAAGGTTGGAGAAGTCTTCCACAACCTCTGAGTCCAACCACGATCCCATCCCCACCATTCCCACTTACAGGATCACAGAAGCATTCAGGTTGGAGAAGAGCTCTACGGCCAAGTCCAACCACCAATCCACCCCCATTGTGCCCACCCATAGAATCATTAAGGCTGGAAATTAGAGGTTTCCCCATCCCACGTGTCCTGGTCTCTCTGTCTGGCTGGTTCTTCCCATGTGGGACATCATGGACTCACAGTTTGGGAGAAGAAAACAAGGGAGGATGCCTGCATACAGTGAGATCTTTGGGGTGGAGGAGGACGCGCCGGTGGGTGCAGCCCCATCTGCTGCTGGTGGATGGGACCCACAGCCTGTGGGGTTTTGGAGGGGGCACGGGGTTAGAGGGTGCTGTCCTGACCTTCATAGGATCACAGAACAGGTTGAGTTGGAAGGGACCTTCATAGGATCACAGAATCATTTGGGTTGGAGGGGAGCTTCATTGGATCATGGAATGGGTTGAGTTGGAAGGGATCTTCATAGAATAACAATATGGTTTGGGTTAAAGAACCTTCACAGGATCACAGAATCATTTGGGTTGGATGGGACCTTCATAGGGTCACGGAATGGGCTGACTTGGAGGGGACTTCCATAGGATCGTGGAATGGATTAAGTTGGAAGGGACCTTAATAGAATAACAATATGGTTTGGACCTTCGTAGGATCACAGAATCATTCGGGTTGGATGAGACTTTCATGGGATCATGGAATGGGTTGAGTTGGAAAGGACCTTCATAGCATCACAGAACCATCTGGGTTGGATGGGATCTTCATTGGATCATGAAATGGGCTGAATTGGAAGGGACTTTCATAAGATAAGAGAATGGGTTGAGTTGGAAGGAACCTCCATAGGATCATGGAATGGGTTGAGTTGGAAGGGACCTTCATAGGATCATGGAATGGGTTGAGTTGGAAGAGACCTTCATAGGATCATGGAATGGGTTGAGTTGGAAGGGACCTTCATAGAGTCACAGAATGGGTTGAGTTGGAAGGGACCTTGATAGAATAACAATATGGTTTGGGTTGGAAAGGACCTTCACAGGATCACAGAATCATTTGGGTTGGATGGGACCTTCATAGGATCATGGAATGGGTTGAGTTGGAGGGGACCTTCATAGGATCATGGAATAGATTAAGTTGGAAAGGATCTTAGGATCACAGAACCATTTGGGTTGGATGGGACCTTCATAGGGGCACGGAATGGGTTGAGTTGGAAGGGACTTTCATAGGATCACAGAATCATTTGGGTTGGATGGGACCTTCTTAGGATCATGGAATGGGTTGAGTTGGAAGGGATCTTCATAGAATAACAATATGGTTTGGGTTAAAGGACCTTCACAGGATCACAGAATCGTTCGGGTTGGATGGGACCTTCATAGGATCATGAAATGGGTTGAGCTGGAGGGGACTTTCATAGGATCATGGAATGGATTAAATTGGAAAGGACCTTCATAGGATCACAGAACCATTTGGGTTGGATGGGACCTTCAGAGGCCATCTGGTCCCACATCTCGCAATGAACAGCAGCACCTATAACTACATCAGGTACTCAGAGCCCTTCCGATCTAACAGTGATGTGGTCACAGCCTCTGTGTAACAGCCAGTCACCTCAGCTGGTGTAGACTTGCACGAGCACAGCACACAGGCTCTTGATCACCACCGGTGAAACGGAAATGACTGCTGAAAACTTCGTTCTGTAGCTGAGCACTTGCTCTACCAAACAGTGCTACCGCGCTCCTCTCGCAGCTGCCACGGAAATAACCAGGAGGCATTACTTCCGGAGCGACCTACGGCATGAGCTGCAAGCATCCTCCCACCCATCTGCTTCCGGGAGCTCCTTGCTTTTCCCTTCACACCCCCCCAGGCCCCCCCACCACCTCCCACCACCTCCCACCCCACAGCACTCACGGTCCGGCTGCGCAGCGCCTGCAGCCCCAGCTTGTCGGTCAGCTCGCTCACCGCCATGGCGTTGGGCATGTCCTGCTTGTTGGCAAACACCAGCAGCACGGCGTCACGCAGCTCGTCCTCCTGCAGCTATGGGGGCAGGGACTGGTGAGCTGCAGGATGCAGCTCTGCAACCCACCTCGCCTCCCGGAATCCTCCTCGGATCGGGGCTGATGTTGTTCAGTGCTGTGAGGGTGAGTCGATCATCTTGAGCCCACAGATAAGGAGCGGCCCAGGAGCCCCACGCTCCAACCCTAATAGTGTGGTTTGGGTTGGAGGGGAACCTTCATAGGATCATTGAATCATGTGGGTTGGAGGGGAGCTTCATGGGATCACAAAATGCCTTGGGTTGGTAGGGATCTTCATAGGGTTGGAAGGGAACTACGTAGGATCACAGAATCATTTGGGTTGAGTTGGAAGGGACTTTTCATGGAGTAATAGAATGGTTGGGGTTGGAAGGGACCTTCATAGGATCACAGAATCATTTGGTTTGGAGGGGAGCTTCATGGAGTTACAGAATGCCTTGGGATGGTTGGGATCTTCACAGGGTCAGAAGGGAACTTCATAGGATCATAGAATCATTTGGGTTGAGTTGGAAGGGACTTTTCATGGAGTATTAGAATGGTTGGGGTTGAAAGGGACCTTCATAGGATCATTGAATCATTTGGGTTGGAGGGGAACTCCATAGGATCACAGAATCACTTGGGTTGGGTTGCAAGGGACTTCATAGGATCACAGAATCATTTGGTTTGGAGGGGAGCTTCATGGAGTCACAGAATGCCTTGGGTTGGTAGGGATCTTCACAGGGTCAGAAGGGAACTTCATAGGATCATAGAATCATTTGGGTTGAGTTGGAAGGGACTTTTCATGGAGTAATAGAATGGTTTGGGTTGGAAGGGACCTTCATAGGATCATTGAATCATTTGGGTTAGAGGGGAGCTTCATAGGATCATAGAATCATTTGGGTTGCAAGGGACCTTCATGGAGTAATAGAATGGTTTGGGTTGAAAGGGACCTTCATAGGAGCACAGAATCATTTGGGTTGGAGGGGAGCTTCATAGGATCACAGAATGTCTTGGGTTGGGTTGCAAGGGACTTCATAGGATCACAGAATCATTTGGTTTGGAGGGGAGCTTCATGGAGTTACAGAATGCCTTGGGTTGGTAGGGATCTTCACGGGGTTGGAAGGGACCTTCATAGGATCATTGAATCATTTGGGTTGGAGGGGAGCTTCATAGGATCATAGAATCATTTGGGTTGCGAGGGACCTTCATGGAGTAATAGAATGGTTTGGGTTGAAAGGGACCTTCATAGGATCACAGAATCATTTGGGTTGGAGGGGAGCTTCATGGAGTCACAGAATGCCTTGGGTTGGTTGGGATCTTCACAGGGTCAGAAGGGAACTTCATAGGATCATTGAATCATTTGGGTTGAGTTGGAAGGGACTTTTCATGGAGTATTAGAATGGTTGGGGTTGGAAGGGACCTTCATAGGATCATTGAATCATTTGGGTTGGAGGGGAGCTTCATAGGATCACAGAATCACTTGGGTTGGGTTGCAAGGGACTTCATAGGATCACAGAATCATTTGGTTTGGAGGGGAGCTTCATGGAGTTACAGAATGCCTTGGGATGGTTGGGATCTTCACGGGGTTGGAAGGGAACTTCATAGGATCATAGAATCATTTGGGTTGGGTTGCAAGGGACCTTCATTGAGTAATAGAATGGTTTGGGTTGCAAGGGACCTTCATAGGATCACAGAATCATTTGGTTTGGAGGGGAGCTTCATGGAGTCACAGAATGCCTTGGGTTGGTAGGGATCTTCACAGGGTCAGAAGGGAACTTCATAGGATCATTGAATCATTTGGGTTGAGTTGGAAGGGACTTTTCATGGAGTAATAGAATGGTTGGGGTTGGAAGGGACCTTCATAGGATCATTGAATCATTTGGGTTAGAGGGGAGCTTCATAGGATCATAGAATCATTTGGGTTGCAAGGGACCTTCATGGAGTAATAGAATGGTTTGGGTTGAAAGGGACCTTCATAGGATCACAGAATCATTTGGGTTGGAGGGGAGCTTCATAGGATCACAGAATCATTTGGTTTGGAGGGGAGCTTCATGGAGTTACAGAATGCCTTGGGTTGGTAGGGATCTTCACGGGGTTGGAAGGGAACTTCATAGGATCATTGAATCATTTGGGTTGGAGGGGAGCTTCATAGGATCACAGAATCATTTGGGTTGCGAGGGACCTTCATGGAGTAATAGAATGGTTTGGGTTGAAAGGGACCTTCATAGGATCACAGAATCATTTGGGTTGGAGGGGAGCTTCATGGAGTTACAGAATGCCTTGGGTTGGTAGGGATCTTCACAGGGTCAGAAGGGAACTTCATAGGATCATAGAATCATTTGGGTTGGAGGGGAGCCTCATAGGATCACAGAATTGCTTGGGTTGGAGGGGAGGGGAGCTTCATGGAGTAATAGAATGGTTTGGGTTTCAAGGGACCTTCATAGGAGCACAGAATCATTTGGGTTGGAGGGGAGCTTCATAGGATCACAGAATCACTTGGGTTGGGTTGGAAGGGGCCTTCATGGAGTAACAGAATGGTTGGGGTTGGAAGGGAACTTCATAGGATCATTGAATCATTTGGGTTGGAGGGGAGCTTCATAGGATCACAGAATCGCTTGGGTTGGGTTGGAAGTGAGCTTCATGGAGTCACAGAATGGTTTGGGTTGGAAGGGAACTTCATAGGATCATTGAATCATTTGGGTTGAGTTGGAAGGGATTTTTCATGGAGTAATAGAATGGTTTGGGTTGCAAGGGACCTTCATAGGATCATTGAATCATTTGGGTTGGAGGGGAGCTTTATAGGATTATAGAATCATTTGGGTTGAGTTGGAAGGGACCTTCATAGAGTTACAGAATGGTTTGGGTTAGAAGGGTCATTCATAACATCATGGATTCGTTTGGGTTGGGCTGGAGGGGACCTTCATTGAGTCACAGAATGCTTAGGGTTAGAACAGAACTTCATAGGATCATAGAATCATTTGGGTTGGGTTGGAGGGGACCTTCATAGAGTCACAGAATGGTTTGGGTTGGAAAGGAACTTCATGGAATTAAAGAATAGTTTGGGTTAGAGGGGACTTTTCATGGAGTCACACAATGTTTGGGGTTGGAAAAGACCTTCATGGAGTGATAGAATGGTTTGGTTTGGAAGTGACCTTCATAGCATCACAGCATGGTTTGGGTTGGAAGAGACCTATAGGGACGTGATGACACTGTTGGAACAGATAAGGTATCCTGTTACCCCGAGTCAGTGCTTTTCCACCCTTCTGCCAAAAGCATTTTCTCCGATTAAGCTTTGCAAAACACAATCATGTTGCTTTAATTATCTGCAGCATTCACTAATCTAGCCACGAGCATTCTCTCCAGGCCATATTTTCTAAGAGGTCCCATTTCAACATGACCAGATGGGTTGGGAGGTGCAATACCTGCACACCCACCATCGTGATGCTTCACACATCAACCACTCAATCAGAAATGTAGGGCCAAATTGGGCATCATCCTGAACCTAAGCAACTCCCTTCCAGCAAATTGCTCCCTCCTTGTCCGTGGGGCTCGGTGACCTCCCAGCCCTGCACCGCCAACGGGGATGGAGCAGCACGACAGCACAGCATGCTCCCCAGCATGCAAAACCCCACTGTCTTCTCGGCTGGTTTTCCCCTTTGCAATTGCTCCTGATTGCTGCAGTCTGACCTTCGAGCCCCACGGCCAGGGAGCCCCAATTTGGGGACAGCTCTTTGTCCCCAGGGCCAATCCCACCACCAGAGCAGGTGTCCCCCCACCCCTCTCACCATCTTCTGCAGCTCCTCCGCAGACTCCTGCACCCTTTCCCGGTCGTTGCTGTCCACCACAAAGATGAGACCCTATGGGAAAAGCCATTCTGCAGCAGGCATGGGCTTTGACACGCGGCGCAAACACCCCCAGCACTGTGAGAGGGTGTCGCCCCCACTGTCCCACCAAAGGACTTTCTTATTTCAGAGCCTTCCTTCCCCACGGGAACACCCTTGTGGTCCCATCCGGATGGTTGGAACCGGTGCTGTGCCACTTACCTGTGTGTTCTGGAAGTAGTGCCTCCAGAGGGGCCGGATCTTGTCCTGGCCTCCTACATCCCACACCGTGAAGCAGATGTTCTTGTACTCCACCGTCTCCACGTTGAACCCTGGAGGGATGTGGGGACAGGTGGGGTGCAATGCGGTGGGGGCTGAGTGCGTGGCTGCATCCCCCTAGGAGCATCCTCACCCATGGAGATGAGGATGAGATGGAGATGGGGTTGGGGATGGGGATGTAGATGAAGATGGGATGGGAATGAGAATGAAGATGCAATGACAATGAGAATGAAGATGAAGATGGGGCGGTGTTGAATAGATGAGGATGAAGAGACCATCTCCAAAAAGCACCAGGAGGGATTCTGAGCATCCCCTACTCCGAAGCCCTCACCCAGCACCTTCAACCAGACCCAGTCAATTGCCCCAGGAGCATCCATGCTGTGACCCCCACTATGACCCCCCTACGTCCCCAACCCCCTGAGGAGCACCAGAGCCCAGCCACGTCCCAGCAGAGCAATGCTCTGCCCAAAGCATCGCTGCCAACCCAGTGCTGGTGCCCTCTGGCAGCAGTTTGGGCTGTGGGTGCCCGTTGAGAGGGGCCCTGCACAGCGCTGGGCGCTCACCAATGGTGGGGATGGTGGTGACGATCTCTCCCAGCTTCAGCTTGTACAGGATGGTGGTTTTGCCAGCAGCGTCCAACCCCACTGCAATGGAGACATGGCGTCACCGGCACCGCTCCCTGCACTGGCCCCATTTCCATCCTCATCTTCACTCATCTTCATCCTCATCTTCATTCCATGCTCATCTTCACCCGCATCCCCATCTGCATCTTCATCCCATCTTCATCGCCGTCTTCAGCACCACTCTCATCTCATTTTCATCCTCATTCTCGTCTTCATCCCATCTTCACCCTCATCCTCATCCCATCTTCACCCACATCCTCATCCCATCTACCTCTTCATCCTCATGAATTCAACCCCACCCCATCTTCATCTTCATTCTCATCACCATTCAGTCCTCACTCTCATCCCCATCCCCAACCCCACCTCCATCTCATCCTCATCCTCATCTCATCCCCATCCTTATCCCATCTTCATCTTCATCCCCATCCTCACCTTATTTTCCTCTTCATCCTTATCTACACCCCCATCTCCATCTCATCTCCATTCTCATTCTTACTGTCATTCCATCTTCATTCTCATCCCCATCCCATCTTCATCCCCATCTCATCCTCATCCTCATCCTCGTCCTTATTTTCATCCCTAACCCATCCTCATCTTCACCCATACCCTCGTCTTGTCTTCCTTTTCATCCTTATCTTCCATCCCATCTCCATCTCCGTCTCACTTTCATCTTCATCCCCATCTTCATCCCATCCCCATTCCATCTTCATCCTCATTCCCATCCCCATTCCCATTCCCAACCCCATTTCCATCACATATTCATCCTCACACTCATCTTCACTCCATCTTCATCCCTATCCCATCTCCATTCTCCATTCTCATCCCATCCCCATCCCAATCCCCAACCCCATCCCCATCCCATCCTCATCCTCTTTCTCATCTTAACCCCATCCCTATCCCATCTTCCTCTTCACCCATTACATCCCCATCCCCTCTTCCTCTTCATCCTTATCTCCAACCCCATCCCCATCTCATCTTCGTCTTCATAATCACTGTCATTCCATCCTCATTCTCATCTCCATCCCATCTACATCTCCATCCCCTTACCCAACCCCAACCCCATCCCCATCTCATCCTCATCTTCATCCCCATCCCTATCCTACCTTCATTGTCATCCACATCCTCATCCCATCTGCCTCTTCATCCTCATCTATTCAACACCGCCCCATCTTCATCTTCATTCTCATTGTCATTGCATCTTCATTCTCATTCCCATCCCATCTTCATCTACATCCCCATCCCCAACCCCATCTCCATCTCATCCTCATCTCCATCCATATCCCATCTTCATCTTCACCTGCATCTTCATCCCGTCTTCCTCTTCATCCTTACCTTCATCCCCATACCCATCCCATCCCCATCTCCATCCCATCTTTGTCTTCACCCTCATCTTCCTCCCATCCTCATCTTCCTCCCATCTTCATCCTCATCTTTATCCCTATCCCACCTTTACCTGCATCCTCATCCCGTCTTCCCCTTCATCCCCATCCCCATTCCTATCCCCATCCCATTTCATCCTCACTCTCATCTTCCTCTCATCCCTTCCCATTCCATTCCATTCACATCCCATCCCCATCCCCATCCTCTTCCTCATCCCACCCCATCTCCATCCCATCCCCATCCCATCCCCATCTCCATCCCCATCTCCATCCCCATCCCCATCCCCATCCCCATCCCCATCCCCATCCCCATCCTCATCCCCATCCCATCCCCATCCCATCCCCATCCTCTTCCTCATCCCATCCCCATCCTATCCCCATCCCCATCTCATTCCCATCTGTATCCCCATCCCATCTTTATCCTCACCTTCATCTTCCTCCCATCCCATCCCATCCCACCCCCACACCCCATTCTCCCCATTCCCATTGTCACCTCCATCTCTCTCCCCGCCCCCACCCCCGCTCTCACCCATCAGGATCCGCATCTGTTTCTTGCCGAAGATGCGGGAGAAGATGGCAGACACGGTGAGGCCCATTGCGGCGGCGGGACGGACCGGAGGACCGGAGGACCGGAGGGCCGGGATGGCCGGGATGGCCGGGATGGCCGCGCCGGGGCGGCCGCGCTGCGACCCCAACGCCTCCGCGCTCCGCGGCGCCAAAGGCTCCGCCCCCTCCTCAAGCCCCGCCCATACCTCTAGCCACGCCCACAACTAGCCACGCCTCCAATCACCGGGCTCCTCCTATTGCCGCGGCACCGTGTACTACCGGCCAACGCTTTTAGCCCCGCCCCTCGGCTCGCCCTGCTCCGCTCTGACACCTGATTGGCAGCCGCACCTACGCCTCTTCCCGAGCATTTCTTTTTGCGCATGCGCAGCGCCCTTTTTTTTCCCCGCTCTGGGGCGAGACTTAAAGCCCGCATGCTCACTGATCGCTGGCGGCGGGCGGAAGTAGTTATGCGGAGGGCGGAAGTGGTTAAGCGAGGCGGAAGTAGATGGTTGTGGTCTGCGCCTGCGCGCTGGGTGCCAGCACCCGACCCGGTGGTTCGGCCGAAGGCTGCGGCCTGCCGTGCCCAGGTCCGAAGGGGAGGCCCGAAACCGCCGCCTGCCAGCCCCCCGGCCCGGCCCTCCCTGACAGCGCAGCCCTTGGGCTCCCCCTTCTGCTCTGCGGGCACCCCAGGGCCCGGCTCCCTTCATAGAGCCATGGAGAAGTTTGGCATGAACTTCGGAGGTGGCCCAAGTAAGAAAGAACTTCTGGAAACCATTGAATCGCAGAAGAAGCAGCTTCTGAATTACCAGGCTCGGCTGAAGGATGTGGTGATTGCCTACAAGAGCCTCATCAATGAGAAGGAAGCCTTGGAAGCCAGCTTGAAGGTGTTGTCGGCATCTCACGAGGCTGATGTCGGCCTGAGTGGTGCTCAGCCTGCGCGCGTGGCTGCCTCCTGCTCTTCTCCTGCTGATCCCACTGACGATAAGAGCTCGGTTCACAGCGAGGACAGCATGGGGACGGCGACCAGCGCTGACACGACGGCCAGCTTGGCCAGTGCAAAGGGCGAGCAGGGCGCTGAGGAAGAGAAACCCGCAGCAGCTGCACCCTCTCTTAAAGCAGAAGAGACAAATGGTTCGGAGAGCGGTGTCAGCACGAGCAGCGGGGACGTGGCCTGTGCTGCCAGCGAGGCTGATAGGAGGGTGCTTCAGCTGAAGACCCAGCTGGCCACCTTGACCAGCGCTCTGTCAACGGTCACGCAGGAAAAGTCCCGCATGGAAGCCTCGTACCAAGCCGACAAGAAGAAGATGAAGCAGGACCTGGATGACGCTGTTAAAAAAGCAGAGGATGAGACCGAAAGGTTGGAGGCGGAGCTGAGGTCTGTCCAGGAGCAGCTCGCTGAGACCAAAGCCCGTCTGATCACGCAGCAGCACGACCGAGCCCAGGAGCAGAGCGACCACGCTGTTATGCTGAGAGAGCTGCAAAAGCTGCTGCAGAGCGAGAGGGCGTTGAGGCAGGACGCAGAGCTGAAGCTGGAGGAGACCAGGGAGGTGCTGGCAGGACGGGTGTGCATGGCTGACCGTGCGGAGGGTTACGAGCTGCAGATCAAGCAGCTGAGCCAGGAGGTGGAGGACCTGAAGAGAGAGCTGCAGGCTGTTCAGGAGGAGAGAAAGAAGCCAGACCCCCGGGTACAGGACCTGCAGGAGGAGATGGTCAACCTTAAGAACCACTTCCAAGCGCAGCTGCTGCAGGAGATGAGGAAGGTAATTCCCTGATTGAGCCCTAGAGCAGCCTGCAGTAGGGGGCACCGTGGCAGCAGCTGGAGCAGGGTTTGAGGCTGGAGGAGCCCAAATTCTCCCTCTTTGCCTCATGTCACAAAGTCCAAGAGATTTCAGATAGGAGGAAATACCATAGCTTCATTCGATGGGATGATATTTCCTGAGGAAAATAAAAGCTGTTAGTGATGCAGTGTATAAGTTAACCACAGGTGGAGACCACTGGGTGTGGGAGTTACGTAGTGAGTGTCTTCTGCAGCATCACTTGGCTCTGAGCAGCAGCTGGATTTGGGAGGAGAGACCAATGCTCCGACCCGCTGTGGCAATGAGTGTGCTCTCACCTCTGTAAATGCCATGCAAGGTACAGTTCAGTACCTCTTAAAGGGAGATAACTGCCACCTCCCCCTGGGTGGAACTGTAATCAGTGAGCGGTGAGGCAGGGGGGCGATAAGGGCAGCCTGCTGTGCGAGGTGCTGGGTTGCACATCTTGCTGCGAGGAGGGATGCAGTGGGAAGGAGGAAGCTGTCACTGCAGGCTGTGAGGCAGAGGGCTGGAGGGCTTTGCTGCCCATCACCGAGTTGGCAGCTGGAAGTACTCCAGCGTGGGATCCTCATTTCCCCACGGACTGGAACAAGTTTTCAGCTTTCTAATCTGAAACCTCTTAATTAGCAGCTTTGGGGTGACGGCATGCGATCGACCTTGTTGTGGAAGTGATATCCAGCATCTTCTGTAGGACAGGGCTGAGGATGAGCCGATCCCAGCCCTGTTTTGGCTCACAGTGAGGACTGACGAGTGGTGCCACCATTCCACTTGCTCTTGTGATCTTGTGATAGAAGCTGTGAGCTCCAGGTGTTTGCTGCAGCTACTCAGAAACCCACTGAATTACGTTGATATTGGTGCACCAGAGCGTAGCGTTTAGGCAAATTGCACTTAGGTGTAGGAAAGCTTTAGGGCACACGCTTTAAAAAAAATCCCATTGCAGATTGTGAGGTGTTCTGCTTCATGCCCTGTGCACGCCTCCAGCGATGCAGATAATGCTGCTAACAGCAGCTCTGTGGAGCAGGGAACAAATGGGGAAATGCATTCAGTTTCTTTCATCCTTGAGTCTCTGTTTTAAAGATGGGCATGAGAGAGTTGTGGGGGTGGGGGGTTGTTTGGAAAATTAGGAGAAAGCGTGTCCCTGCTCTTGCTTGGGGTTGTTTAGAGCAGAATGAAGGCCTTTGTAACTGCAGAGCTCTGTGCTCTCTTTGCTCACAGACTGCACAGGCAGAGGAGCAGCTCCGGCAGCATGCCCAGATGGAGGAGCAGCGCGTGGCCGACCTGGAGGGACAGGTCTCCGAGGTGTCAGGGCTGCTGGGCACCTACGAGAAGGCCAAGCAGAAGGACCAAATGATCATCCAGAAGCTGAAGGACCGTATCGTGCAGCTGGACCAGGAGAACAAAACCCTGGCCATCGCGGCCTCCAGCCGATCCCCTGCTGATGTGAGCGTGGAAGAAGCCAATCTGGATGTGAACGTTCTCAAGGATAAGATGGAGAAGCTGAAGAAGCTGCTGCAGGCGGCAGCAAAGAAGAGTCAGCCCACGCTGGACATTGAGAAGCTGTGTGAGCTGGAGCTGCCAAAGGGCACCGAGGCCGGGGATGGCGAGAAGGCCACAGCTTTGTACTATCAGCAGGAGCTGAAGCAGCTGAAGGAAGAGTTTGAAAGGTACAAGATGAGGGCGCAAGTTGTTCTCAAGAACAAGTCAGCCAAAGATGGCAATCTGGCCAAAGAACTGGAGGAAGCTCAGGAGCAGCTTGCTGACCTGAAGGAGAAATACGTGGTGCTTCAGCTGTCCTCCGAGGAGGTGGAGAAGCAGCACCAGCTGGACATGGAAGCCAAGAAGCAAGAGTTCTCCCAGCTGCAGCAGCTGCACAGGCAGGAGCTGGAGCGCTGCCAGTTGGAGTACAGGGAACGGGCGCTGAGGCTGGAAGAAGAGATGCACAAGCAGAGGGACCGGGCGCTGGCGGTGCTGGCCGAAAAGGACCAAGAACTGGAGCAGCTGAGATCCGTCATGTTGCCTTACACCGGGCTCCAGGGCTCCAAGAACTACGTGGCACCAGGGACTGACGCTGCGAGCGCTGACCCCCCGGCTAACGGCTCCACAGAGATCCTCCCCCAGGCTCTGCACCTCTCCACCAACGCAGAGCCCACCTTCATCCTGTATGCGGAGCAGCTGGCCCGCAAGGAGGTGGAGATCGTCGCGCTGAGGAAGCAGAAGCACAAGCTGGAAATGCAGGTTCACCAGCTCCAGGAGAAAGTCTTGGTGGAGGAAGAGAGGCACCGGGAAGAGGTGTCGGCACTTCAGAACGAAATCCAGAAGAACTTCAGAGATAAGAGCAGAGAAGGAGCCAACCTGGAGTACCTGAAGAACATCGTCTATAGGTTTTTGACGCTGCCGGATTCCCTCGGCCGCCAGCAGACTCTCACTGCCATATTGACTATTCTGCACTTCAGCCCAGAGGAGAAGCAGGCTGTCAGAAAGCAGTCAGCACACAGCAGCTGGTGGCTGTCGGGGAAGAGATGAGGCGGTTGTGGTTATCCCTCACTGCCTGTGTCTGGGAACAACCGTTCTGCTGAACTCTCCTGCCGTGTGGGGCAGCTCCTCTCCAGCCACAGCAGAGCAGGGAGCTCTTAGCACAGAGCCGTGCTTTGAGCGGGTGCTGTCAGCACGGATTTAAAGCAGAGTTGTGCCAACCCCTTTGGTAGGATCGCATCATTCTCCTGCTCTGAGCTGGAACTCGATTATTTTTAAAGAATAATCAAGTTGGGACTCTCTTGGACAGACCAGGAACTCCCTCCCTGCTTCCCTGTGTTTCCCAGGGAGGATGCTCTGAGCCCTGCAGCTGCACCGGAGCAAGCAGTGCTTCCCCTCTGGTTCTGTTAGGGCAGAGACCTCAGCTGCCAGACCCTGCACAGAGATGAGGGAAGGCTGAAGTCAGCACTGACAGCTCAGCTGACGTTTGTGAGCCAAGTTGGGGAGTTTTGCTGACCTGCAGGATGTTCTGCAGCGCCCTGGGAGCAAGGCATGGTCTCGTGGGGGTGGAAGAAGCATGAGGTGAGGGGCAGAAGGTGGCAGCTCAGGGAACAGTGTGCTCCCTGGTCTCACCGCTGAGTCTGTGGGATGCAATAAGCACTGCTGATAGACCTTGAGGTTATTGCATCAGTTCAATGCGAGCCTGGAGCAGCTGGCTCCGTGCTGCTCAGCCCTGACCTGGGGAAGACATCTGCACATGTGTTTTACACCAGGTTGTGAGGGCAAAGCCAGGTCTGTGTGTTGGGTGTGGACAGGCACGGTGGGAAGAGTCTGTGGGAGCAGCAGAAGCCACAGCTCAGTGTTTCCTCACCCAACAGGGGAAGGGGCGGCCCTGCAGCACCGGAGCTGCCAGAGGAGGGTCCTCATGCTGCTGTCAGCTCCTTGGAGCTCTCACAGCACAGTTCCTCCCTCTGCTCTCTCACAGCCCCCCTCCTGACTCCCCTCCATCTCTCAGCCCTTCCTGCACATTTCT